TACAACCTTATTCCTAGTTTTTGCATAATTCCAGGGTGGGAAGGGATCCTCATATCCCCCTCCCCCCTCGTCACCAAGCCCCCTCCGTCCCGAGGAATCTGTCCTGGAACCGCTTTTGGGTGAGGATGGTCACACAGGGCCAGCAACGGTGGTTGCTGTTCTGTGCTGAGCTCAAATCCACCTTAATCCCTAAGCTGATTGTAGAGTCCAGGTTGATCTTGGTTGTCAAAGTAAGGAAGGCGGATAAGATACAGAACAGAAATGAATACGGAAAGGAAGAAGGAATGAGGTAAGATGTTTCGGTCCATTAAGTCATATAAGTCTTAGCTCAACACCACGCGACTGGGCCTCGTCAGTTTGACGGTCGTGGTGTTCAGAGATGACAAGGCCTGCACGTACACCTGCACGTGAGTACCACACGAAGTACCGAACTTCAGCAGCAACGCATCCAACCCCTCATGCGAAACAGCCACGACATACGCAGGGATGCAGTGGACACTCGATTGCAGCGAAATCGCGCCCGGAACACTGATCCACTGCAACAGCGTTCTTGAGTAATGCCTAGACAACTGCTAAATTCCGACCTCCCGAGCCAGGTTGTGCGGCGAATTGCGACGCCTGGGGCGGGGGGGAGGAATGCAGGGAATGAGGGTTTCGGGACAGTAATGACGAAAAGAGGACGGGATCCTTACTGGTTGGGGCCTTGCCTGAAGGTAGGAACTGGAAATAAAGGCGTAATTTACGAGAGGAAGGGGGTCTGCATCAACTTTTTATACTAAGCAAGAAACTTGATGCTGAGAGGAAATCCAGTGGCAAAAAATTTTAGCGCCGAAGCCTGCTTGGTTGCCGAGTTGAAATACCTGGACAGATGCACACACACACGCACACAAAAATACACACACGTACACACATACATACATACACATCGGGGTTGTCACAGTATGCGCTTTTGCATTTGCATATATGCAAGAATGTATAATTAGCAGTCTTGAAAGTGACACCAAGAAACCTGTATAGACAAAAAACATAGCATTACGACCTTGTGGAGTTCAAAAATGAGTGCATTTTGCGAGGCCGAGCCAAGCCGAGGCTCAGTGGTTATCGTCGAGATCGTTGCAGGATCTCGATAGCCCTTTTATAATCGGGTGACGTGGACAAGCCGCCCTTTGTTTGCGTGTTCCATCGTAATACATACTCGGGGCACACCACAGTGTCTTTTTGG